ATGAATGGAGAAGAATGGTTTTTGGGACTTGAGCTGTTGGAGTGTGAGCATAGTAATATTTTGTAAAGGGATTCAAGGAAATCAGTTAGCCAGACTTGAGTCCTCGAGGTGGGAAGTACAGTGCCTGATCTCAACCCTTAAACTGTCCAAATGTAGAACTACGTTTGCTTGTGTAGCGCTCCAAATGTAGATCTACGTTTTTTTTACATTGTTTCTTATGGAGAAAATCAAGGTCGGAGAGCTGTACATGCAAACTTGGATCTACGTTTGGACAGTTTAAGGGTTAAAGGAGGGGTTTGGGATATTGACTGTTTGGAGTGACATCTAATACTGTCATATCTGAGTTCTTCTGCAAAGACAGTGATTATGTACTGAAAGTGTTAAAACGATGATGAAAGCTTTTTTCTTTCTTTTTGGGTCACCCTGCCTTGGTGGGAAATGGCCGACGTGTTATAAAAACAACTACAGGTTATATTTAGTTAGCTACTGGATCTGGAAAAAAAAGAAGTCATTAATTCAGTTGCTGTCTTGCCAGAAGTGTGCTGACATTGGATTTCAAATGGCCCTCTGCTGCAACAGCCTCACCTCTCCTTCAGAGTGTAGGCACTCTGAATGGAATGTCTGATTTCATGATTTTCGGTTGTCACCAATTTTTTTCGTCAAAATATAGTCTGTTTTCGTTAATTCCCTCTGGTTTTGTCGGTCGTACTGAACACGTCCGAGTGCTCATACTCTCACAAAGCCTCCCACACACCATTCTAAGTCAGTATGGCATTGTTTCTTGGCGAGTGAACATTACCCTCCGAGGTCATACGAAACATTTCGTAATAGTCCATTGTTTTTTGTGCTTGTTTATTGTGTGCGACTACTAAATAAGACACCATGGGCCCAAAGAAAGCTCCTATTGCCAGCCCTATGGTAAAGAAGGCGAGAAACATGATACCATTCAAGAAAGAACTTGTAGCAAAGTACCAAAGTGGAGGAGGAAGAGAGGGGGGGAGAATGTACCTTCTTCAGTGATTCTACGATATGTACGATACTAAAGGAGCAGGAGTCGATAAAGGCTATAGCACCAGCCAGTGATAAAGTATAGCATTAACAGTGTAGCAGGTAAGTTAAGCGATAGAAAAAGGGCATGAAACTAATTCCTCCAATGTTGTTGGAGGTATATAAGACCACTGATAACATATGCTGCCTGCGTGTCTTCCACCACCCTAAACCAATGCCAGCATCTCCAAGGTAAGTGTAAATATTTTTTATTTATAAATTACATACATTGTTTCAGTGTGAATAGTTGTGATGGCTTCTGCTGCCGCTGCCGCCGCCGCCGCCGCCACCAGTATATGTACAGCTTATGCTGTCAGTGGCCCTGATAAACCCAACACCACCACCACCACCACTCCTCACATACATCATAACATAATTTGTTCAGTCTAGATTATATATCATGTTTCTATGTTATTAATATTGTTTATATCATATTCGAATGAATTATGATAGATAAATAAGCTGTAGAGTTATCACCGTTGCATTTAAGCATTTTGTCCTGTCTCCAAACAATAAACTTGCCTCCCTCTCCGCTTCTCGCCATTTTCCATACCCCAACAAGACTCTTCAATAAAGGTAAAAGTGATTTAAATGTTCATTTATCTATTTCATTAGTGCTTTTTATTGATTTCTCATTGTTTTCTGTATGTAAAACTATAGTTATTTTCTATTAAATATATTTTTTGTTAATACTTTTGGGTGTCTAAAACGGATTACATTGTTTCTTATGGGGAAAATGATTTCGCTTTTCGTAATTTTCAGATTTCGTCAGACTCTGGAACGGATTGATCATGAAAACCGAGGGTTCACTGTAATGTGTATACTGAATATAAGTAGAAATATGTAAAATTTACTTACCATCTTACATGTTTGAGACCAAGACCAGCAAATCTGCCATAGTTCAAAATATTAAACAGACTTCCCATTCATATTCATATGGCATGGATGTTTGCTGTTGGTAAGGCATGCGTGAAGAAAGCTTTGAGGGAGTGTGTGAAACAGATATTGAGTAATTGTTGCTTGAATATCCAGCAGTTATGCTAGACGCTGAGAAGAAAACAGATGAACTCGCCATACCACCTTAAATCTCACTAAATTTGCTTTAAAATGAGGCCAGCTTGATCAGAATTACATGGCTGGTTACTAGGCTATTGTTACAAACATGTTGAAGGTTGTAGGCAATTTTTTCAAAAGTAACATTTGGTGAATTCATCAGTGGTCTGGGGGTTTTGGGGTCACTTTGCCTTGGTGGTTAATTTGTTAAAACCAGAATTATTGCTGGTCTTTACATACAGCATTTTCTCAGTGTAGAGTCAGAAAAGGTGCAAATCACTGTTTTAGAGTAGAATCTTGTCTTTTCTTTCAGCGCACCGGCCATATCCCACCGAGGCAGGGTGGCCCAAAAAGAAAAACAAAAGATGATTGTGGATGTTATGAATGAGAAGAAGCTGGATGTCCTGGCTTTAAGTGAAACAAAGCTGAAGGGGGTGGGAGAGTTTCAATGGAGAGGAATAAATGGGATTAGATCAGGGGTTTCAAATAGAGCTAAAGAGGGAGTAGCAATAATGTTGAAGGATAAGCTATGGCAGGAAAAGAGGGACTATAAATGTATTAATTCAAGGATTATGTGGAGTAAAATAAAGATTGGATGTGAAAAGTGGGTTATAATAAGCGTGTATGCACCTGGAGAAGAGAGAAGTGTAGAGGAGAGAGAGAGATTTTGGGAAATGTTGAGTGAATGCGTGGGGAGTTTTGAATCAAATGTGAGTTTAATGGTGGTTGGGGATTTCAATGCTAAAGTGGGTAAAAATGTTATGGATGGAGTAGTAGGTAAATTTGGGGTGCCAGGGGTAAATGTAAATGGGATGCCTTTAATTGAGCTATGTGTAGAAAGAGATTTGGTAATAAGTAATACATATTTTATGAAAAAGAGGATAAATAAATATACAAGGTATGATGTAGCACGTAATGAAAGTAGTTTATTAGATTATGTATTGGTGGATAAAAGGTTGATGGGTAGGCTCCAGGATGTACATGTTTATAGAGGGGCAACTGATGTATCGGATCATTATTTAGTTGTAGCTACAATTAGAGTAAGAGGTAGATGGGAAAAGAGGAAGGTGGCAACAACAAGTAAGAGGGAGGTGAAAGTGTATAAACTAAGGGAGGAGGAAGTTCGGGTGAGATATAAGCAACTATTGGCAGAAAGGTGGGCTAGTGCAAAGATGAGTAGTGGGGGGGTTGAAGAGGGTTGGAATAGTTTTAAAAATGCAGTATTAGAATGTGGGGCAGAAGTTTGTGGTTATAGGAGGGTGGGGGCAGGAGGAAAGAGGAGTGATTGGTGGAATGATGAAGTAAAGGGTGTGATAAAAGAGAAACAGTTAGCTTATGAGAGGTTTTTACAAAGCAGAAGTGTTATAAGAAGAGCAGAGTATATGGAGAGTAAAAGAAAGGTAAAGAGAGTGGTGAGAGAGTGCAAAAGGAGAGCAGATGATAGAGTGGGAGAGGCACTGTCAAGAAATTTTAATGAAAATAAGAGAAAATTTTGGAGTGAGTTAAACAAGTTAAGAAAGCCTAGGGAAAGTATGGATTTGTCAGTTAAAAAACAGAGTAGGGGAGTTAGTAGATGGGGAGATGGAGGTATTAGGTAGATGGCGAGAATATTTTGAGGAACTTTTAAATGTTAAGGAAGAAAGAGAGGCAGTAATTTCATGCACTGGTCAGGGAGGTATACCATCTTTTAGGAGTAAAGAAGAGCAGAATGTAAGTGTGGGGGAGGTACGTGAGGCATTACGTAGAATGAAAGGGGGTAAAGCAGCTGGAACTGATGGGATCATGACAGAAATGTTAAAAGCAGGGGGGATATAGTGTTGGAGTGGTTGGTACTTTTGTTTAATAAATGTATGAAAGAGGGGAAGGTACCTAGGGATTGGCAGAGAGCATGTATAGTCCCTTTATATAAAGGGAAAGGGGACAAGAGAGACTGTAAAAATTATAGAGGAATAAGTTTACTGAGTATATCAGGAAAAGTGTACGGTAGGGTTATAATTGAAAGAATTAGAGGTAAGACAGAATGTAGGATTGCAGATGAGCAAGGAGGTTTCAGAGTGGGTAGGGGATGTGTAGATCAAGTGTTTACATTGAAGCATATATGTGAACAGTATTTAGATAAAGGTAGGGAAGTTTTTATTGCATTTATGGATTTAGAAAAGGCATATGATAGAGTGGATAGAGGAGCAATGTGGCAATGTTGCAAGTATATGGAATAGGTGGTAAGTTATTAAATGCTGTAAAGAGTTTTTATGAGGATAGTGAGGCTCAGGTTAGGGTGTGTAGAAGAGAGGGAGACTACTTCCCAGTAAAAGTAGGTCTTAGACAGGGATGTGTAATGTCATCATGGTTGTTTAATATATTTATAGATGGGATTGTAAAGGAAGTAAATGCTAGGGTGTTCGGGAGAGGGGTGGGATTAAATTTTGGGGAATAAAATTCAAAATGGGAATTGACAGTTACTTTTTGCTGATGATACTGTGCTTATGGGAGATTCTAAAGAAAAATTGCAAAGGTTAGTGAATGAGTTTGGGAATGTGTGTAAAGGTAGAAAGTTGAAAGTGAACATAGAAAAGAGTAAGGTAATGAGGGTATCAAATGATTTAGATAAAGAAAAATTGGATATCAAATTGGGGAGGAGGAGTATGGAAGAAGTGAATGTTTTCAGATACAGTGGACCCCCGCATAGCGACCTTAATCCGTGTAAGAGGGCTGGTGGTTATGCGAAATGTTCGGTATGCGAATGAATTTTCCCCATAAGAAATAATGGAAATCAAATTAATCCGTGCAAGACACCCAAAAGTATGAAAAAAAAAATTTTTTTACCACATGAAATGTTAATTTTAATACACACAAACTGAAAAAGGCATGCACAATTACATGACACTTACTTTTATTGAAGATCTGGTGATGATTGATGGGATGGGAGGAGGGGAGAGAGAGTGTTAGTGTTTAGAAGGGGAATCCCCTTCCATTAAGACTTGAGGTGTCGAGTCCTTTTCTGGGGTTACTTCCCTTCTTCTTTTAATGCCACTAGGACCAGCTTCAGAGTCACTGGACTTCTTTCGCACAACATATCTGTCCATAGTGGCCTGTACCTCTCGTTCCTTTATGACTTCCCTAAAGTGTTTCACAACATTGTCAGTGTACAGGTTGCCAACATGGCTTGCAATAGCTGTGTGAGGGTGATTTTCATCCATGAAGGTTTGCACTTCAAGCCACTTTGCACAGATTTCCTTTATCTTTGTAGTAGGCAACTTCTTCAATTTCTCTCTCCCCTCCTCTGAACCAGTTTCCTCAGGTCTGGCCTCTTGCTGTTGAAGTTGATCTATCAGCTCATCAGTGGTTAGTGCTTCATTGTCCTCCTCCACCAACTCTTCCACATCATCCCCACTAACCTCCAACCCTAAGGACTTTCCCAATGCCACAATGGATTCCTCAACTGGCATAATCCTCTCAGGGTTAGCCTCAAACCCTTCAAAATCCCTTTTGTCTACACATTCTGGCCACAGTTTCTTCCAAGCAGAGTTCAAGGTCTTCTTAGTCACTCCCTCCCAAGCCTTACCTATAAGGTTTACACAATTGAGGATATTAAAGTGATCTCTCCAAAAGTCTCTTAGAGTCAGTTGAGTTTGAGGTCACTACAAAGCACCTTTCAAACAGAGCTTTTGTGTACAGTTTTTTGAAGTTTGCAATAACCTGCTGGTCCATGGGCTGCAGGAGAGGAGTGGTATTAGGAGGCAAAAACTTCACCTTAATGAATTTCATGTCCCCATAAAGTCGCTCTGCCATGTCTGTAGGATGACCAGGGGCATTGTCTAACACCAGGAGGCACTTAAGTTCTAATTTCTTTTCAGTTAGGTAATCTTTCACATTGGGGGCAAATGCATGGTGTAACCAGTCATAGAAAAAGTCCCTAGTGACCCATGCCTTACTGTTTGCCCTCCACAGCACACACAAATTCTCCTTGAGGACATTCTTTTGCCTGAACGGTCTGGGAGTTTCAGAGTGATACACTAATAAAGGCTTCACTTTGCAATCACCAGTAGCATTGGAACACATCAACAAAGTAAGCCTGTCTTTCATAGGCTTATGTCCTGGGAGTGCCTTTTCCTCCTGAGTAATGTAGGTCCTGCTTGCCATTTTCTTCCAAAACAGGCCTGTTTCATCACAATTAAACACTTGTTCAGGTTTCAGTCCTTCACTTTCTATGTACTCCTTGAATTCCTGCACATATTTTTCAGCTGCTTTGTGGTCCGAACTGGCAGCCTCACCATGCCTTATCACACTATGTATGCCACTACGCTTCTTAAATCTCTCAAACCAACCTTTGCTGGCCTTAAATTCACTCACATCATCACTAGTTGCAGGCATTTTTTTAATTAAATCCTCATGCAACTTCCTAGCCTTTTCGCTTATGATCGCTTGAGAGACGCTATCTCCTGCTAGCTGTTTTTCATTTATCCACACCAATAAGAGTCTCTCACATCTTCCATCACTTGCGATCTCTGTTTCGAAAACACAGTTAAACCTTTGGCAAGAACAGCTTCCTTGATTGCCTTTCTGTTGCCCACAATAGTAGAAGATGGTTGATTTGGGTTTCTTGTACAACCTGACCAGGTCGGCGACACGCACTCCACTTTCATACTTATCAATGATCTCTTTCTTCATCTCTATTGGAATTCTCACCCTTATTGCTGTAGGGTTGGAACTAGAAGCTTTCTTGGGGCCCATGGTCACTTATTTTCCAGATAAAGCACCGAAAACACTGTAATAATACGAAATATTCCGATTGTATGCTTGGATGTTACCGCGGAGGCTGGCTGGTAAACAATGCCACCGGCGGAACATATGAGGCTGGCTCAGGCCGCACATTGGACGCGTCTCGGACGAAGGGCGGTGAGCGGGTTTTTGGGCGGTATGCGAGGCAAAATTTTTGCGATCAAAGCGACCGGTATGCGGATTGTACGGTATGCGATGCGTACGGTATGCGGGGGTCCACTGTACTTGGGAGTTGACGTGTTGGTGGATGGATTTATGAAGGATGAGGTTAATCATAGAATTGATGAGGGAAAAAAGGTGAGTGGTGCGTTGAGGTATATGTGGAGTCAAAAAACGTTATCTATGGAGGCAAAGAAGGGAATGTATGAAAGTATAGTAGTACCAACACTCTTATATGGGTGTGAAGCTTGGGTGGTAAATGCAACAGCGAGGAGACGGTTGGAGGCAGTGGAGATGTCCTGTTTAAGGGTAATGTGTGGTGTAAATATTATGCAGAAAATTCGGAACGTGGAAATTAGGAAAAGGTGTGGAGTTAATAAAAGTATTAGTCAGAGGGCAGAAGAGGGGTTGAGGTGGTTTGGTCATTTAGAGAGAATGGATCAAAGTAGAATGACATGGAAAGCATATAAATCTATAGGGGAAGGAAGGAGGGGTAGGGGTCGTCCTCGAAAGGGTTGGAGAGAGGGGGTAAAGGAGGTTTTGTGGGCAAGGGGCTTGGACTTCCAGCAAGCGTGCATGAGCGTGTTAGATAGGAGTGAATGGAGACGAATGGTACTTGGGACCTGATGATCTGTTGGAGTGTGAGCCGGGTAATATTTAGTGAAGGGATTCAGGGAAACCTGTTATTTTCATATAGTCGGACATGAGTCCTGGAAATGGGAAGCACAGTGCCTGCACTTTAAAGGAGGGGTTTGGGATATTGGCAGTTTGGAGGGATATGTTGTGTATCTTTATATGTATATGCTTCTAAACTGTTGTATTCTGAGTACCTCTGCAAAAACAGTGATAATGTGTGAGTGTGGTGAAAGTGTTGAATGATGATGAAAGTATTTTCTTTTTGGGGATTTTCTTTCTTTTTTGGGTCACCCTGCCTCAGTGGGAGATGGCCGACTTGTTGAAAAAAAAAAAAAATACAGTAGAAGGGGTTACTAGCCCCTTGCTCCTGGCATTTCAATATTTTTTGATAACCTTTTCACTTACACTTGCAGATGAGGAAAGGCCACATTACTGCCCTCCACAGGTTGGAGGTTCACTTTGGCCTGATGGGAGTGGTTATCATGATGGAATAGTTCTCAACTCTGGCAATACACCTGCACCAAGCATGTGGGATACACTATCAAACATTTGGTCACCACCTTTCTCATCTTCAAGTCAAGGATCATCTCCCCAGTCTTCACCACCATCTCCCTGGGGAACAACACTTTCTCAAGCACCATCATCTGGAGTAACTGATGCTAGTGGGGCTGTATCAAAGGGACTTGGTTTTGATCCATTCTGTTCTGTCAATAACATTTGGTCTGCACCAGCCAACCACTCTGGTGACTTGTGGGCACCACCAAATTCTAAGAAGGAGGTTTAATCTTGTGTGCAACGTATGTTTGTTTTACATCCTTACCGATCATGCTGCATAGTTCATCTAAAAGAACACAAAAAGTAAATTTTTATCTGTTGATTTTTTACACTTAAAAAAAAAGATAATAATGATGAGCAGGCCTCTGCATTATCTTTTATGATATGGTATGTTTCTAAAAAAAAAAAATTTTGTTTTATGAATTTGACTGGTTTACTTTTTATAGTCATATGGAGTTAAATTCCATATTAGTTAGGATGGCCTTTTACTTAATGAAGTATATTTGTTCTATATTACAAAAGTTTTATTTGCAAGGGCAATTTGTCACCTATGGTAAATGACCAATTACACAGGCAGTGTGTTCATTCGGTTTTGAGAAGAAAATCTCAAATTTAGCTACAAACACAGTTATGCACTAAAGAATATAATTAAATGATAAATGCTTGTTTATATTTTAATAGTCATTCTCAATAACAATGATATTGTTATAACAGATTTGAAGAAGTCACTTTTATTTGATTACAAAAAGAATATTAAATCTTTTGTAATAATTTTGACAAGTTTTTAGTTCACACGGCTCTCATATAGAGTGAAGACTTTTTATTTACTGTAATCTTTGTGCCATATTGAAAGATTTGCTATATGCAATTGTTGCTGGTTGTGTGCAGAACAAATTAACTTTTTTTTTTTTTTAACTCAGCCATGCCATTGCTATTATAAATCAATGCATTGATTGACTTTGATTGAAATATTTTCAATCTTAAATTATTCACATGCTTGTAATATCAGCCTCAAAGATGGATGTCCTGAAAATGAAGATAGGCAATTTTCAGGTCTGTTATTCAGCCCATCCTGGTAGTCAGTATTTCAGAGGTGGTAAAGGTACAGTCCGATGAGGAACTTTATTGTTACCTAACTAGACAACTTGACCAGCTATTTTTTTGCATCCCATCATGAGCAAACTATTTAGAAGCAAGTGTTGTGATTATATATTATGCAACATCATCACAAAACAGTGATATCTTAATATTCGGTTTGAACACAATGAAATGAAAAATTCAAAGTGTATAGAGCATATTCTATATCAAACATTCTCAAAGAACATAGTGGAGATTAGCAATGTGTGACCTGTATTCAAGATCACACCTTACCTATGGACTTGACTCAAATTGTGTGGCACATTAAGCCGGAGTGTGATCTGATCTGTCAACATAGCCTGAAACTTGGAAATTTTATTAATTATGAATGTATCCAGCTTACAAGTCAGATTATAATCATCACTGGTTTTAATATAACTTCATTGTTTCATCCAAACATTGATATGCACGTTTGTTTAGTTTTGAACCATTCGATAGAAAAATTAAAACCACTTACATTAAAAACTAGCATTCACATCTTGGTCAGGTGTGTTTTCTAACACAAATATAACTTAGATCTGACCAGGATTCCAATGCTTTATTTATTGTACAATTTTAAAAACACATGGCTGGTTAAGATGCTAAAAAAAATTTACATTCAGGTCAATGGCTGAACAAAATGAATTGCTATTTGTAATCTCAGCCTTAGTTCAGGACTACGAGCCAGATAAAATCATAATTATAATCATAATGTTTGAAGTTATATGACAGGAAAAATCACCTTTTACTTCAGTGTATCTCATAATTTGTATCATGTCTGTCAGGTACAGTCCTCCTGTACATAAAGCCACACACTTCACTATATTTCTTAAGAATTTAAGTGATATATAATGAACACTTTGAAAACTTGAAATTTGGTTTTTCTTACAACTGTGGTAAAATTCATATTAAGTTTTCACATTTACTTGAGATTTTGTTGTATGCTCAAATATATATAACATAAAAATTTAATGCTTGAGAGAAAGCCTGTGAAACAAAATAGACAACAGGCTTGGTCATCTTGTCTTGGCTGTACCCAGAACCTAGTAAGCCAACCAGTATTGTGTATGCCCACTCAGTATTTGATTATACTCAGATATGGAAACCCCATAATTCTAGTTTCCTACTATCAAGAACTCTAGACTGAGCAGATTGTCAAGACATACCAAGAGTGTTTTTGATGGACAAATAAAATGAAGAATTTAACATTACTGTTATTAACCTTTAAGAAATCCTATTATAATTTAGGAAGCTCAATTATTATTATAATCAAAAAGCACTAAACCTACTAGGAAATTCAAAACCCTTAGTGATTTCAGTTAGTAAAATTTGGGGTGGAGAATATAATTATTACTGGTACAATAGGTCTGTTTTTGTTTGAAGGTGTCTGCAACAAAGGTGGGACTTTCAGTGAGGAAGGCAATAAGTTGAGCTGTCCAGGTGAAGTAAAAAATATATCCCAAGGGCTCTGATGGTTAGGAAAGTATTAATATGTAGTGAAATGAAGCTACCAGGCAGTCCTTGCATAGAGGTGTTGGGAGCTTTGCCGTGAATTCACGTGTAAGTCTTGCATGGAGGGGTTGAGGTCCAAGTGATGGATAGAGGATAGCCAGAGTCCAGTAGCATGACCCTTTCAGATTTACCTCTTGCCTTAACTGTAATATGGTTCGGTGAAAAAAAAGTTTTCTTCTAACCCTGAACCCTGGCTCTGGTGGCCTGGTGGTTAACGCTCTCGCTTCACACGGCGAGGGCCTGGGTTCGATTCCCAGCCAGAGTAGAAACATTGGACGTGTTTCTTTCCACCTGTTGTCTATGTTCCCCATCAGTAAAATGGGTACCTGGGTGTTAGTCGACTGGTGTGGGTCGCATCCTGGGACACTGACCTAAGGAGGCCTGGTCACAGACCGGGCCGCGGGGGCGTTGACCCCCGGAACTCTCTCCAGGTAAACTCCAGGGAACATTGCTGTTGCCAGCAGGTCGATAAGTCTGGGACAATTGGAAAAGAAATGAGAAATACAGGACCTATAATTTCCTCACTAACAGAACACAGAGAGTAGTCGTCAACAGAGTAAAGTCCGAGGCAGCTACGGTGAAAAGCTCTGTTCCACAAGGCACAGTACTAGCTCCCATCTTGTTCCTCATCCTCATATCCGACATAGAAAAGGATGTCAGCCACAGCACCGTGTCTTCCTTTGCAGATGACACCCGAATCTGCATGACAGTGTCTTCCATTGCAGACACTGCAAGGCTCCAGGCGGACATCAACCAAATCTTTCAGTGGGCTGCAGAAAACAATATGAAGTTCAACGATGAGAAATTTCAATTACTCAGATATGGTAAACATGAGGAAATTAAATCTTCATCAGAGTACAAAACAAATTCTGGCCACAAAATAGAGCGAAACACCAACGTCAAAGACCTGGGAGTGATTATGTCGGAGGATCTCACCTTCAAGGACCATAACATTGTATCAATCGCATCTGCTAGAAAAATGACAGGATGGATAATGAGAACCTTCAAAACTAGGGAGGCCAAGCCCATGATGACACTCTTCAGGTCACTTGTTCTATCTAGGCTGGAATATTGCTGCACTCTAACAGCACCTTTCAAGGCAGGTGAAATTGCCGACCTAGAAAATGTACAGAGAACTTTCACGGCGCGCATAACGGAGATAAAACACCTCAATTACTGGGAGCGCTTGAGGTTTCTAAACCTGTATTCCCTGGAACGCAGGAGGGAGAGATACATGATTATATACACCTGGAAAATCCTAGAGGGACTAGTACCGAACTTGCACACGAAAATCACTCACTACGAAAGCAAAAGACTTGGCAGACGATGCACCATCCCCCCAATGAAAAGCAGGGGTGTCACTAGCACGTTAAGAGACCATACAATAAGTGTCAGGGGACCGAGACTGTTCAACTGCCTCCCAGCACACATAAGGGGGATTACCAACAGACCCCTGGCAGTCTTCAAGCTGGCACTGGACAAGCACCTAAAGGCAGTTCCTGATCAGCCGGGCTGTGGCTCGTACGTTGGTTTGCGTGCAGCCAGCAGCAACAGCCTGGTTGATCAGGCGCTGATCCACCAGGAGGCCTGGTCACAGACCGGGCCGCGGGGGCGTTGACCCCCGAAACTCTCTCCAGGTAAACTCCAGGTAAACCCCTCTACACAGTGGATGGGGGCCAAGTGGTTCTCTCTCCTGGACACCAATGTGCCCTGGGACCCAGCAATAAAGACTTCCTTGTGTTTGCTAGAAATCCTTCATAACTGCTGTTGTATACCGAGCACAATAGGGAGTGAGGTTATATTTCTGAAGAGTTTGCATACATTTTGAATCTAAAACAAAATAGGTGGCAAATCGTGTTTGCAGTATGTATGATGGCCATGAGAATGGTATATAACTGCTGTTAAAATGGTAGCAGTCTAAATAATCTTAGTTTATTTGGAAAGATAAGCCATATAACTGATGCCATCTGAGGATTCTGAACCATCAGTTTACTCTGCCACAGCATGAGAATGAGAAGTGTTCAAGGAAAAGTGAACATAACTTATACTGAATATGGTGGCCTTTCAGACATGGAAGGGGGGAAGCGGTGGGTGGGTTGGGGATGGTTCAAACAAATTTATGGAATGTTCCAGGGGATTAAAGAGTACAATATGGGGTGAAGGTAAAAGGAAGATAGAGATGCTGCAAGAGCTAATCCACAGAGGTTAATCTTTTAACTGTATCCAGTGTACTAGTATGCAGGTGATGATTGTATCTGACATACTAGTACATCACAATTTTTCATATCTTCAAATAAGCCACCTGCCAAAATTTTTGACCTTGGCTCAATTGTTTGGGTCTCCTACAACCTCCTTTTGCGGCTATGCCATACAGTACATTATGGAGTAACATTGCCTAACTAGCAAAAATAAACAATGAAACTAGGATCTGTTCCATTACCAGCAAACACTGAGGAACTGCCAGGAAGATCCCTCTTTATTCCAAATTTATTAGTTTCATGAGAGTGAAATTCAGTTTTGAGAGACTCTGACTGCGGGTTCAAATCCCGCCCGTGGTATGGTTTTAATGTGACTTATTTCCATGAATATTGCACCCTGAAAGAATTGTAAGATACAGGTGTTATACCTGGAAGGTGTTCCGGGGGTCAATGCCCCTGTGGCCCAGTCCATGACCAGGCCTGGTGGTGGATCAGGGCCTGATCAGCCAGGCTGTTACTGCCAGCTGCATGCAAACCAATGTATGGCCCACAGTCTGGCTGGTCAGGTACTCTGGGTGCCTGTCCGGCTCCCTCTTGAAGACAGCCAGGGATTTATTGGTAATTTCCTTTGTTGGGAGGCAGTTCAAGTCTTGGGCCCCTGATACTATGGACACAAATTACATTACATATCCCAGGATATTCCCTCAAACCTAAATATATAACAATAATTAACTCAGAATAACCCAATACAGTCAAACAGGTTCAGGTTCAGGTAGGTTCGCCAGGATAAGTCCTGGTTCCGGTGTTCCCCATGCAGTGGCTCCCCATAGGAGAGGTGTCATCAGGTTTTTATCGAGGCGATGAACTGCAGCAACGTCCTCAGGTTCTCGACTGTAAGAAACACAAGGTGTGCTGCTCTGTCCTCCCAGGTCTGTCCGACAGTCTGTTGTGGGAGGAGGTGGTTGTACAGGGGCGCCATGGCAGATAGTCAATGTGACTTATTTCCATGTTTTTATAAGTATTATGCCTTGAAACAAATTTAATACAAGTATGACCTATACATAGTATTAGAAGACCAATAGTAAAAACGACTGAAAAAAAATTTTTGCTCTAATTTATACTGTATATTGTATGTGGAGCAATATCGGGCAAAGCATTTCCAATTTTAAAAGTAATAAAGTTGATATTAGATGTGTTTCAAGGTGTTTTACTACTTTACATTTTAAAAGTAGTAAAACACCTTGAAACACATCTAATATCATTAAGTAGTATATATAGTACATACTAAACATTAAATACGGAAACAAAGAACTGAAGAAAATCATAATTTGGCATTGTCAATAAATTGCGAAACATAAATATCGCTGGCACATTGATGCCGCTGTTTCCGATCAGTGTTATTTTTTTTTTCACCAATTTACAATGCACCATAAGAATCATAATTTGCTTTATCAGATTCCACTCATTTTATTCTTTTCCAGTTAATAAAAATGCATTCTTTCAATCTTTATGAATTTTTATTTTTTTTTTCAAAGCTTGCCCCCCATAGGAATTTTACTGTCTAAGTATGCCACCATTAAGGGATTAAGGACACAACCTCATGAACAAGACCACTGGATACTGGAGTGCCATAGGGAAGTGTACTTGGTCCCCTGCTCTTCCTCATACATCAACGATCTTCCCAATGTATCACAACACCTGAAACCTATTCTCCTTGCTGATGACACGACTTATGTCATCTCCCACCCCAGTCCTGCCTCACTCAACACCATTGTTAATGAAGAGCTAATAAAATTATCAGCCTGAATGACTGTTAATAAACTTACACTTAATACTGACAAAACCTATACTGTATTTTGTTTGGGAAAAGAGGTGTTGCATAGCTGAACATTATGATTGTCAACACTCTTATTTCTTATTGCTAAATATAATGAGGGCAAATTCTTGGGCCTGTCCCTTGACAGCAACCCGAAATTCTGCACCCATATCCAACACATAACAAAAAAAAGTATCCAAAACGGTTAGGATCCTCTCCAAGATACGTTACTACATACCACAATCTATACTATTCACTCATCTATCCCTACCTCACCTATGTTATTTGTGCCTGGGGATCAACAGCAGCAACCCACCTAAAGCCAATAATCACCCAAACACCTGCAGTAAGAATTATCACACAATCCAATGCTAAGCAACCCCCTCCCCTCCCACTCTTCAAAGGCCTAAACTTACTCACTATACATAACATTCACACCTACTACTGTGAAATCTACATTTACAGAACCATATATTCCACTATTAACCCTGAACTAAAACACTGTCTTGTCTTGATACTTTTGACAGGATCCATAGCCACAATACCAGACACAAAAATACCTATGACATTCCCTGTGTCCAGCTAAATCTATACAAAAATTCAATGTATATAAAAGGGCCTAAAATGTGGAACTCCCTGCCTGAAAATTCTAGAACTGTAGACTCATCCACCATTTTCAAAACTACCTTTAAAAAAAATCTTATCTCCCTAACACACCCCATCATCAGCTAACTACATCAAAACCACCTATTCTCTTATTCCTATCATTCACATATCCAAAACAAAATAGATTTACTGTCGATATCTGTGATTCCCGGTAATTTACACTTACACTCGCCCAAATGACTTTAAACATAAACTTCCTAATATAACTACTGCCTAATACACCTTAAGTTAGACCTAAGTTTGCCTAAGAAACTCTCCCAATATAGCAGGTAACCTCTAGGTATGCCAAGTCTTATCATTCCCATCACTAAATTTACTAATATTGTTACCTGGAGTTTACCTGGAGAGAGTTCCGGGGGTCAACGCCCCCGCGGCCCGGTCTGTGACCAGGCCTCCTGGTGGATCAGAGCCTGATCAACCAGGCTGTTACTGCTGGCTGCACGCAAACCAACGTACGAGCCACAGCCTGGCTGGTCAGGTACCGACTTTGGGTGCTTGTCCAGTGCCAGCTTGAAGACTGCCAGGGGTCTGTTGGTAATCCCCCTTATGTATGCTGGGAGGCAGTTGAACAGTCTCGGGCCCCTGACACTTATTGTATGGTCTCTTAACGTGCTAGTGACACCCCTGCTTTTCATTGGGGGGATGTTGCATCGTCTGCCAAGTCTTTTGCTTTTGTAGTGAGTGATTTTCGTGTGCAAGTTCGGTACTAGTCCCTCTAGGATTTTCCAGGTGTATATAATCATGTATCTCTCCCGCCTGCATTCCTGGGAATACAGGTTTAAGAACCTCAAGCGCTCCCAGTAATTGAGGTGTTTTATCTCCGTTATGCGCGCCGTGAAGGTTCTCTGTACATTTTCTAGGTCAGCAATTTCACCTGCCTTGAAAGGTGCTGTTAGTGTGCAGCAATATTCCAGCCTAGATAGAACAAGTGACCTGAAGAGTGTCATCATGGGCTTGGCCTCCCTAGTTTTGAAGGTTCTCATTATCCATCCTGTCATTTTTCTAGCAGATGTGATTGATACAATGTTATGGTCCTTGAAGGTGAGATCCTCCGACATGATCACTCCCAGGTCTTTGACGTTGGTGTTTCGCTCTATTTTGTGGCCAGAATTTGTTTTGTACTCTGATGAAGATTTAATTTCATCGTGTTTACCATATCTGAGTAATTGAAATTTCTCATCGTTGAACTTCATATTGTTTTCTGCAGCCCATTATTATAAATATAATTAATTACTTCAATTACCTATTATGCAATAAGATATATTAAAATGTACTACTCCATAACCTGTCAATATAGAGTAAGAATTAGTATTAATCTGTCCGAAATGCCTAGGCCTGCTAGAGGCCTTCCTTGTAATTAATATTTTATATGTAAACCATACATTGTAAGCTTTGCAAAGAAATAAACATTATTATTATTATTATTATTATTATTATTATTAATATAAGTATGTACTCAAGCTGTGAACGCAGACGCTGAAGATCAAGGTCATAAAATCCCGGCGCTACAGAGAAGTGTAGGTAATCACAGCTGCTGTTCTGTCTCCTACTACTCCTGTTACAGTTACTGCAGTTGTTACATCTGTGATACAATGAGGAGAACGGTATTCGTCTTCTTCATAATTTGTTTCATCAGCCTGTGTCTCTCAAAACATACAGATGTCGGAGACATCGTGAATCAGATGATCTGCAACAACAAACCTTCAGGTAAGACTTCAACTCGCCGACATTTTTCAGTGGGAAAGAAAGTGCCTTGGTGATGCAGGGATTTTGATCAAATGAATCATAGCATTGTTAGAGATAAATTATGCTTTACTTTGTGATACGTTTCAAATTTATGAATATATATAACGATCGGTTGTACAGAAGCCGCAGCGCTGTGTAGCCCTTGTGGTTTAGCACTTCTTTTGATGATGATGATGATAATAATAATAATAATAATAATAATAATAATAATGTACAAAAGCCTAAGCAATGTAGATGCTACTGATTCATAATTAACCTTCACATTGTGGATAAATCTAGACGTTTCAGTCTATTTTTACCATGTCCTGTTAGAGCAGAGGTAAATATTTTATGTACCTGATAATTGAATAATAATTCGATTAAATTTCATTTTGTAAAATGTGTGTGAGAGAGAGAGAGAGAATTCTAAGAATGTGTTTTTCTGTTTGGTTTTCTTTTTTCTTTTTTTTTCTTTTCTTTTTTTTTGTGGTAAAAATGGATTGTGTAATTTTTTCTTCAGAAAAAGTTTTTTTTTTTTTCTTTCTTTTTGGTGATAGAAAGTGTATTGCTATTTTTTTTTTTTTTTTGCAAAACCTGAATAATTTTTTTTTTTCTGACCTTTCTTGTTTTTCTGTCCCTTTATGATGGCGATATTTTTTTTTTTTTTTGTATGGAAGTAAGGGCATAAATGGAGAAAATAATGGTTCAGATCGAATTGAAACGTCTAAAGAATTACCTCCAATCTGTGTTAGTTGTAAATTGTTAGATTTAGGGAATTGGATCTGTGCTCCAGTTCCCCGAATTAAGCCTGAATGTCTTCCACATCCCCCCCCCCCCAGGCGCTGTATAATCCTCCGGGTTTAGCGCTTCCCCCTTGATTATAATAATAATAATAATAATGTAAATTGTTAGTATATTCTCTAACAGATTTTTCTGTAAATAATGTGCTACAATTGGTACACAGCCTTAAGGAGGCTTCAAATTTACATATCATGGAGAAGCACTAAACTAGTGGGGGATCATTTAGTGCCTTGGGAATGGACTTGGTCCAGGGAAGGAGTAGCTCCAGTTCATTGGATCAGGAGCTCTATCATCAAGGCAACTCCCGAAGCTACCTATTATTATGCTTAGTTCTATTTGGATCTCTGATTTATATCATCGACTGCTAATAAGAACATGTTCTTATAAGCAGTGAAAAACGTTTTTGCATGTTTTTTTTTTTTTTATTCGCCGGTACTCTCCCGGCCCGGGTCTTTTCCAAGTAGTGGTGACCCGGCCTTGGCTCCCTATCTGGGGAGTGTCTCGAGACGTAAGTCTTCCATGGGAGGAGGTACAAGTACCCCCTCATCTTTGGGACCAGCTGTCCCCAGGCCTAGCCACATTCCCCGCCCTCACGGGGCTCGTAGGGAGAAGCTAGGCCTCTGGTCTGCCATCTGCCCCGCCCTAAAAGGGCTCGTGGGGATGGCAGTCTTATGAGCTGCAGATGGTAGCAAGCTCAGGCAATTTTTTTTTTTTTTTTTTTTGCATGTGATGCAATTGTTTATGAGTGTAAGGTAGACTGAGTACATTGTTGGACTACTGCAGAATTTATGTGAATAATAGTGACGAGTTCCTGTGTTTAGTACTAAGATCGTCTTGTTACTATTATCATTATTATTCCTTTCAAAATAAATGTTTCCTTATAGTATTATTAAACCTACTAAATTATATTAATCTATCATGATCATTCTCGGATTTCTTTTATGCAGTGAGAACAAACGCTAGCTATGTTTTCTTCCTAATATTCGGTCACACAAGATGGGTCACATAGAGTTGAAATCTGTCAGTCTGAGCTGGTTATTGCAAATCAGTATAATACCCCCTCAGGCTGATAATAGTATCGTGTACTATTAATAAAATACTTGTCTGACACAGCAATACCATGGAATCTCGGTACAGAGGATATCGTTCACAACCCTTGTAGTAATTCATTTAGTCTCAAATTCCCAACGCCGGGTTCGTATGTAAATATTTTAGTACGGTAGTCGCAGGGAGACGTCGCACACTTGCGCACAATACCTCTAGGTGCTGAGATTAGTGTATTAATTGATAGATTTAGGCCTTAAGAATGATTCAGGTAGGCTTGAATCTTTAGTAAATAATATTAGAATTAATAATGCAGCCTTAAACACTGTTATATTAGGGAATGAGATGAGACATATTGTTATTGCTAGTATCTCTGAACAGGAAAGGAGAGCTGGGGACCTGCAGAACTCTGATTCTGAATTGTGGTCATAGACACCGTAGTGTGAGTTCTAGGAGTTGAACTCCGCCTTCACATGATTAACAAAATATTCTCCTGGTGACCAATGAAAAAGAAGTGGAGGCATTCCAGGAGTGTGGACACTCCAGTCTACACCAGGCTCCCGTCGTGATATATTTTTTTTTTCATAATTGGCGGCCATCTTTGTTTCGGAAAATATGTGGTAATTTAGCTACGGGCTATGAGTGGGCCAAGAGCCCCAAACCAAGGGAAATAACAGCCAGGATTGCTGAATAATCATCACTTGAATATCAGGCCAGAAGCTAGTTAGGGCAACCCCAGTGAATACAGGGACCACTAGAATGTATACTGGGTTTACCATCATATTTAACTGATTACAGGAACTATTTCCCTGAGCACGTGGCATCCAAGAAAGAGAGGAGTCATATAGAAGTCAATAGCCTGGTAGATTCAGGGGATTTCTAGCTAGGGTAGACTCCACGTCAAGTTTGTTCTATTTGAAAAGTCAAGACTTCCCTTACACTCGGTTATCATTTCCAAAGAAGTAATGCAAAAGGGTACTTGTGAGGACAGGATAAAGTGGTCTTTGTTATGCGTCAACAGTGATTGCCAGAGTGGGCATCTTACAAGTTCCCACAACCCTATTACTAACCTCTGGCACAGCTCTTGGGGTTGATCTGCTTCCACTAGTGGGACCCGCCCAATTTAACAATGTTTAATAATGATGCCAATGTTAAAGGGGGATAAGTCTTCAGATCTGCAGTTTAGCTTATTAACAATATCGCTGTTTATTCTTAATCCTGTCATTTTCAGATGAGGAGTCATGCCCATTCCCGTTCAGCAGTGTGCGTCAAGAATGCTTTTACTTGAGCCGTGTACTGAGGAACTGGACTGAGGCACGGCACTACTGTCGGAAACTAGGTGGCGACCTGGCTACTCCCACGAACCCATTTGTTCTCTACACTTATGTAGTCGAGCAGGATGCTATCATTGATGAAGTTGGTAAGTATTTACAGTTACGGCACATGCCCCATTATTAACAAATTAGTATTAGATTAAAAAAAAATAACATTTAGGAACTAGTTCTCCGAAAATGTGTGCACATAAGAACATATTAAATACGTTTTGATTCAGGTTATATATACAGATTTTTTATTTTTATATAATTATGTTTAAATTAATAAGATAAAGGAGAGCCTTATCATGACATTTCAGTTAGTACTGAGGACGAGAAAAGTAGAGAATGAAAGACGACATAACTGAAGGGAAAAAGGGGGGGGGGAGAACCCAATAAGGTCAAACTCTTATTTCCATTGGGATATTATTGTTTTTAATATAACTGTGATATAAACCCTCTTTTGCTACTTAACCCCTCAAGGAAGGTTCCTTGATGTTGGTGAGGGGCTCTTGATTTAGGGAATTGGATCTGTGCTCCAGTTCCCCGAATTAAGCCTGAATGCCTTCCACATCCCCCCCCCCAGGCGCTGTATAATCCTCCGGGTTTAGCGCTTCCCCCTTGATTATAATAATAAATTTTGCTACTTAAAATGATTCCATCCCATATAAAATCTCAGATAAGCATGTATGGATTGGAGGAAAAAAGTCATTGGACGGGGTAACATGGAAGTGGACAAACATGGAAGCGACAGTCATTGACGGAGGTCTCTGGCACCCTGAACTGCCTGATGCTCGCCCAGACGCTGACTGTGTTTACATCCATTCAGGCAATGCCCGCCCTCTGGCCAACTTTCCCTGCTCCGATGCCTACAGATTTATGTGTCAGTATTATGCTCCTACTCAGCATAATATCGTGTAAGATGGTTAATGATGCACAAGTATAAGGAATTCTAGATCTTATGGTAGGATTCAAATTGAACTCGCAGCTAATGTTGCAAACCTCTGTACGAACCAGTCCCTGGACCCATTACGTACCTCTGTAATCAGTAAATACCTTTGTAACTTGTCATGATTGTGACTAGTCCTACCTGGAGTTCATTACCTTTGTAAATTGTGAGTTCATTACCTTTGTAAATTGTGAGTTCATTACCTCTAACTTGCTCAGCTATCAAAACTTTGGAGTCCAGTCCCTGGACCAATTATGTACCTCTGTAATCTTTTGACTACCGCCCACAGGATGGGTATGGGGTGCATAATAAACATATTAAACTAAATTAACCCATGCTGTTGGCTACATTTCTCTACAGTGTATGTACATAATATAATACCCCCATTCAGCAGTTTAATATCTTTATTATGCACCCCATACCCATCCTGGGTATGGAGTGCATAAAAGATATTAAACTAACTGCTGGATGGGGTATTTTATTATGTACATATGCTGTTGTCCTTGTGGCTTAGCGCTTCTTTTTGATTATAATAATAATAATAATAATAATAATACATATGCTGTAGATAAATGTAGTTACGGTTCCTCTTGATCTAACCTTGTAAAAATGTCAAAAGAACTTGAATAGAAACCCCAACCAAAAAAAAATCCTCTTTGGATAATTTGACAGTTGTAAAAGTAAGGAGAGTGAATCAGCTGGAGCAGGCCGTGATCGATCCACTGGGAGGTCTGGTCATGGAAAGGGCTGTGGGGGCGTTGACCCCCAAAACACCCTCCAGGTAACATAACGACAGTTAAGAAAGTTACAGTAGTATTTAACTACAGTATATAAAGGTGGCATACTTGGCTAGGATTTTTGGTATGTCTGTGGATTAAATATATTTGCAAACCATACCACGGGCGGAATTTGAACCCGCGGTCAGAGAGTCTCTGACCGCGGGTTCAAATCCTGCCCGTGGTATGGTTTGTTTGCAATTGTGTCATTACGATTTCGTGAGTCAGATATTGCATTTTACAGCAGTGAATGTTAAAAATGTCTCCTAAAGTTTATAGAAGTTAATTAAGGTTATAATTAATTTCAAGTTAAGGCATATGTACTACTTGTTAATAAGAGTGTAAGGAGCCTATAAATCTGAGTGGAATCATAGTTATTGATTTTGGTTGATATTAATTAAATTATAAATGAAGTCTATCTAGTTATAATTCATTAATAGTTACTGTTATGTTTACTCTTATATTTAAAAGCAAATGATACACGCACCATTTTGGACATATTATTTACAATAAAAAAATTTTTACAATCCAAATTTTGAAAAATGAAATAACAATATATGTAGACAAAGACACAGGCACAGTTATGACATTTATTAAAGAAAACGTTTCGCTACAGGTGGCTTCTTGAGCCCTTATATGTACTAGACTGAAACCACTTTAGGCGAGACGTCTCCTGTGCCATAACTGTTCCTAGAGTTGCTTCCGGAGGTTACTGCCCTCATGGCCTGGTCCCAGACCAGGCCTGATCAATCAAACTATTGGTACTGCCGATGCAGTCCAGTGTTTGTACCACAACCCGGTTAATCAGGATCTGTTTTGTGGAATCTTGTGAGGTTCCTCTTGAAGGCACCCCTCAAGGAAGGTTCCTTGTTGGTGAGGGGCTCTTGATTTAGGGAATTGGATCTGTGCTCCAGTTCCCCGAATTAAACCTGAATGCCTTCCACATCCCCCCCCCCAGGCGCTGTATAATCCTCTGGGTTTAGCACTTCCCCCTTGATTATAATAATAATAATCTTGAAGGCAGCTAGGGGTTTGTTGGTAATCCCCCATACGCACGAAGGGAAGGTGTTGAAGAGTCGTGGTATCTCAACACTTAGTAAATTCTCACTGTGTACTCATCACTCCAGCATTTTGCGTCTCTTGAAAAACCTCATTTGGGTCCTCAGTCTTTAAGTAAATTAGTGGTTCACTGAACATTGAGTCACACTGCGTCAAACACAGTCTGACCTGTATTTTGCATATGAAAAATATTCTGGCTTTCTTTCAGTTTCACTTACGGTTCTTAGCTCCCTCTCTCTGTTTCTCCTGGACTTTGTATGATGCATTCATCTTGAGCACAGCGTTTTCTAATTCTTTATCCAGTGTTACTTTTCATTCTTTAGAGTTTACAAAGTCTGCTGCCTCTGAGGAGCTCTGTTATATGTTGTCTTAGACTAGAGGGCACACTTCTCCCTTTCCAACTTTCCAATGTTATTGTGACCATCCTATACTAGTTTGTCATCGTTTATCATATTGTCTTCCCAGTGTATTTTAGTAAACTCACTCTTTAATAGCTCCCAGTTAATGCCCTTGTTAAAGTTAATTTTATTAAACATACCCTTATGGTTGAGGGTATGTTCAACAAAATATGTTTATAATCAAAACTTTTATAAAGTCCCACAAAGTGAACAAGAAAATCGGGGGGGGGGGGACCTCATATACTACTAAACAAATAAGATGTCGTTTTAAAGCTGTAGAGTTACAGCTCCTGGGAAATGGGAGGCAGTCAAGTTCGATCCAAGGAAGTGGAGAACTGACTCAGTTCTTTGAATCAAAAGTTGTTCAGCAGCATCAGGTCTGGTGGGTGGGGGGCGGAGGAGGGGTATAAATAATTGGAGGTACCCCCGCTTTTCTTGAATTAAACCTGATTACCTCCTGTTCCCCAAGTGCTATATGACCTCTACGGATTCAGCATGTCTTAGTGAATATAATTATAATAAAAACAAATATGCAGTATATTAAAGGCAACCACGCAAGCAAGAATACTATATCTTCCATTATTAAAAAAAGTACTAAGTACGTAAGTATATACATCACAACACTACACAGTATACATCACAACATTATCCAGTATATATTACAACACTACACAATATACATCATAACATTATACAATATATATTGCAACACTGTACAATATATATCGCAACACTACACATCACTAATGATCACTACTTATCACTACACATCACTAATAATCATTACACAATACTACACATCACTGCTCGCTACACCTCACTACTACACTACCATACACGTCACCATACAACACTACCATACACGTCACCATACTACACTACCATACATGTCACCATACAACACTACCATACACGTCACCATACAACACTACCATACACGTCACCATACTACACTACCATACATGTCACCATACAACACTACCATACACGTCACCATACAACACTACCATACGTCACCATACTACACTGCCATACATGTCGCCATACAACACTACCATACACGTTACCATACTACACTACCATACATGCCACCATACTACACTACCATACACGTCACGTACTACACTACCATACATGTCACCATACAACACTACCATACACGTTACATACTACACTACCATACACGTCACCATACAACACTAGCATACACGTTACCATACTACACTACCATACGTCACCATACAACACTACCATACACGTCACCATACAACACTACCATACACGTCACCATACAACACTACCATACACGTCACCATACGTTACCATACTACACTACCATACACGTCACCATACAACACTACCATACACGTTGTCATGCTACACTACCATACACGTCACCATACTACACTACCATACACGTCACCATACAACAATACCATACACGTTACCATACTACACTACCATACACGTCACCATACTACACTACCATACACGTTGTCATACTACACTACCATACACGTCACCATACTACACTACCATACACGTCACCATACAACACTACCATACACGTCACCATACTACACTACCATACGTCACCATACAACAATACCATACACGTTACCATACTAACACTACCATACACGTCACCATACTACACTACCATACACGTCACCATACTACACTACCATACATGTCACCATACAACACTACCATACACGTCACCATACTACACTACCATACATGTCACCATACAACTACCATACACGTTACCATACTACACTACCATACATGCCACCATACTACACTACCATACATGTCACCATACAACACTACCATACACGTTACATACACTACCATACATGTCACCATACAACACTATCATACACGTCACCATACTACACTACCATACACGTCACCATACTACACTACCATACACGTCACCATACTACACTACCATACACGTCACCATACAACACTACCATACACGTTATACTACACTACCATACACGTCACCATACTACACTACCATACACCTCACCAATACTACACTACCATACACGTCACCATACAACACTACCATACACGTCACCATACACACTACCATACACGTCACCATACTACACTACCATACACCTCACCATACAACACTACCATACACGTCCCATACAACACTACCATACACCTCACCATACTACACTACCATACACGTCACCATACAACACTACCATACACGTCACCATACTACACTACCATACTACACTACCATACAACACTACCATACACGTTACCATACTACACTACCATACACGTCACCATACTACACTACCATACATGTCACCATACAACACTACCATACACGTCACCATACTACACTACCATACTACACTACCATACAACACTACCATACACGTTACCATACTACACTACCATACACGTCACCATACTACACTACCATACATGTCACCATACAACACTACCATACACGTTACCATACTACACTACCATACATGCCACCATACTACACTACCATACATGTCACCATACAACACTACCATACATGTTACATGCTACACTACCATACATGTCACCATACAACACTACCATACACGTCACCATACTACACTACCATACACGTCACCATACTACACTACCATACACGTCATCATACAACACTACCATACACGTCACCATACAACACTACTATACACGTCACCATACACGTCACCATACAACACTACCATACACGTCACCATACACTACCATACACGTCACCATACTACACTACCATACACGTCACCATACAACACTACTCATACACACCATACTACACCTACCATACACGTCACCATACAACACTACCATAACACTTTACCATACTACACTACCATACACGTCACCATACTACACTACCATACACGTCACCCATACTACACTACCATACACGTCACCATACAACACTACCATACACGTCACCATACAACACTACCATACACGTTACCATACTACACTACCATACATGTCACCATACTACACTACCATACACGTTACCATACAACTACCATACACGTCACCATACTACACTACCATACACGTCACCA